CCCCCCCCCCACAGTCACATCAGTCTCTGTACAGAGGAGCTTAGACTCTAATGTCCCCTCCCCCACAGTCACATCAGTCTCTGTACAGAGGAGATGACACTCTAATGTCCCCAACACAATCACATTGGACTTACGGAGAAGTGACGCGCTGGACACTAGACATGTGCACCGGCAAAAAATTAGTTTAGTTTAATTTGATTTTGATTTTGATTTTGCTTTATTTTGTTTTTTGTCATTCGGAGGAAATTCGTTAGCGGTTGTCTGTACGAATGTTCATTTCGGTTTCATGTTCGTATCCTTCGTTTCATTTCATTTTTTTTTAATCGTCACTTTGCTGCAATGAGAATTCGTCAACAAACGAAAATGCGTACAGACTACCGCTAACTAATTTCGTCCGGAAAACTAATTTTTCCGAATTGAATTGCACATGTCTACTGGACGCAGGGCTTAGGGTTAGTTCACACCATAAGCTGTGCGTTCCGGTCCGATTCAGGCCAGAAGGCACTGCCCACATTGCGACTGACTCAGTTTTTTTTCGTGCAAGAGGGGGCGTGACAGGCCATTGAAGTGAATGGCAATGTAGCCACGCCCTCCGGTCACAATGCGATCGCCTGCACGGGATTGCAAGGCACATTGTGACTGCAGTGCAATCGCGTTGCGGCCAGGGGGCATGGCTATGGTGCCATTCATTTCAATGGCCCATCACACCGCCTCCAGCCCGGCAAATAAGTGAGCCGGTCGCAAAGCAGGCAATGCGTTCCGGAAACCCGGAACGCACTGCTTATGGTGTGAACTAACTTAGTGACCTCCCGGACCTAGTGACAAAAAAAATAAGACTCACCCCGAAAATAAGACCTAGTGTGCTTTTTTGAGCCAAAAAAAATATAAGACAGTGTCTTATTTTCGGGGAAACACGGTACTCACCCATTCCTCCAAATCAGCTTGCTCATAGATCGGTTCTTTCAGCATTTCTCAACCAGTGGTCTAAGGATCCTTAAGTTATCACATCCAATACTCTATGTATTGGATGCGAGGATGCCAAGGGACATGCCATTGCTGCAGTGAGAGAGGCTGGAGGGTGCTCTGTGTCCAGGCTAATGGCAGATAAATGAATTGCATGAATATCTGCCAACTGCATACATCTGAACCTGTTCAGAAAATTAGATTTGACACATTGGCTTAATCCCTACAATGAACCTTAAAGAAGGTGTGTTTGACTTGATATGTTTTGCTTCAACATTTAAATTGGTGTTCACAGTTATGGTGAAGGGGAAAATGAAGAATTAAGCCCTCCACTAAATACTGCAATGGACGTTATAAGATAGAAAATCCATATGTTTTTATTACTTTATTTTCTTTATATATTGGAATTAATGAAGCCGAAATGATCAAATGACAATGATATGCCTGAAGAAGTTTACTCACATCCAACTGGACTTAACCGCGCCATACACTGTAATATTTTCTTTGTTCAACCTGTAGGCCAAAAGAAGAAAATATAACAGATTCCTCCATCAATGCTTACGAGCATTGATCGAGGTATCTCCCACTGTTTGGATTGTATGCATTACATACATTGTATGTATGCTCATTGGCTGCCGGTTCTGTTCATTTGAGGTTTTTCTAACCGCTCAATCAGCTTATCAAGGGGTTCATCAAGAACTTGCCAAAATCTGTAAAGTCTGTGGCCAGCTTTATTCTGTAATGTTGAAGCTGGCAAGCTGAGCCACTTGCCAGCCTTTTATAGTATATACAGTAATGTAAAAACACCAGCAATAAAATCACCCTGTTATCACTGTGGCTTTTTCCTACACCTTTCCTTAAACTTTTGTGTTTTCTGCCCATACTGGCAGAAAGAGTGGTCCTTCTGGAATGGCTGCAATACAACTGAGTGGCTCCCTGTACTGCTTCCCCCTCTCCCAGTCTGAACTGCTGTTCAGGGAATTGCAAGGGGGTGATACTAAACCAAATTCAGATACTTTCAGGCAAAAAAAATGTAGTGATGTATTATAGAGAGCTGCATTAATTCGTATCCTTTATATATTCCTCGAATTCAGTTGTAAGTTATACAGCTGCCATAATACATTCAAAGATATGGCATCAATTATGCTAAGACAATCAAGGTTACGCTTTAAATATTTGGATGACATTTACTATTGTAATAATTTGCTTTCTCTCATTTTTGCATAAGGAACATGTGTATGTGGTGAATGCACCTGCCATGATGTGGACCCAACAGGTGACTGGGGAGATATTCATGGTGACACCTGTGAGTGTGATGAAAGGAACTGTAAATCTGTGTATGACAGATACTCTGATGACTTCTGCTCAGGTAAGAAATCTTCTTTGCAAAGAATAGTAATGGGATTCTCAAAGTATAGATCAGCCTTTCTCAACCAGGGTGCTGTGGCACTCTTGTGTGACTTCTGGCTTCCTCATTAAAATCCATGCCAGACCCCTATCTGGGATAAGGGTCTGGATCATGATGTCTATCTGGGATAAGGGTCTGGTATAGGTTTTGGAGGGGCCACATATTGCTTTATACATTTTAGTTTTATTACATTTTAGACTGACTGTGCCTCAGGATTTTGCATACTTTTAAAGGGCGCGGTGAATCTAAAAATATTGGGAAACACTGGTTTAGACCAACAGCAAAATAATATACATCCCAATATGCTATCAAATGAGACCACAAATGTGAGTTAACAGATCATAGTTCATTAATGCTTTTCATCTTGAATACCAACAACAAGCTTTCAAAAAATAAATAGTTTAAAGAAATTAAATTAAAAGAATGTTGCTTCATGTAGTGTTAATTGAGCATCACTGCAGGTATCCATCTGCAGTCTAAAACAAGTGATAGCTGTGCGCATCTGAAAAAAGGATAGTGAGTGCTTACTACTGATGCCAGTAGATTATTTCTGCACCCTGTGTGTATGCTAAAATTGTCAGTGCTTTTCATATGCACATGTCAACTTTTATCAGAAAATTGTCAGTTCCCATTTAACTCAGCCACTTCATGTTGTAATAGAACAGTTTATTGCAAGTCAAATGTCAGACATCTGTCATGTGACCCCCTGCACACTGTACCCCTGCTCTGTGATTAAAAGCTTGCCCCCTCTGCATTGGTAAGTCCCAGAGATGAAGATGGCAATAACCATATTGATTTTTTCTTTCCGTGACTGAGGGCACCTTTGCTCAACTCTGAGGCTTGAATGCGAATTGTAGCAATGATATAAAGACATGGTTGATACTTTTATCTAGCATTATAAATGGGCACAGGTTTGCATTAAACATGGACTAGAATAGATGTTGCAAACAGTGACCAAAAAGCTGCAGTGGTGGTAATACTGTCACCCTCTCTACTATGGCCTTCCATCAGTAGAGATATTCTATGGCGGGACTTAGTTGTATTGCAGTAAGGCAACCGTTTAGATTTCAGAAACATTTTAATGTCATTAAGGTTTGCATTGAAGCTTGTGTACGCTGCTTGCTGAAAAGCAACAGTGCCTAAAAGAGGTAACAGTTATGCAGCAGTTTTGTTGTAGTAGTGTCATGAGATGTAACTGCATGTTTTTGTTCATTTCATTTCTTGGTAATTTTTGATTGTACAGTAATAAACTCCTAGATGTTATTATTCAATTAGGTTGTTTGGTATATGGTGTATGTGTTTTTAATCAATTTAACATTTACAATTTGAGTTACAATGCTGTTTTACCTTAGTAGTATACCTCGGTCTTTATATTATTACATAATGCTGAATATTTTATGTTTACTTAAGCCCTTCATCATTATTTTTTCCATTGTCCCTAACTACTTTCTTATTTCACACGTGCAAATATGAATCAGCTGGTAGAGCGCTGGGATAGAAAAGACTAACATTGATGGAAATGAATGTCAAGGAATTGATAACAGGGCGGTAATTACTTTGTGTTATGCTGCTGACGTCACTGGACAGCAAGACCAAGACTTCAGCTGTCACATCACATCAGCAGAACCATGGAAAGCAATTACAGGAGCCCATTATCAAAGGGCTATCTTTTATTGCACTTTTTAATGGTTATTCAAAATCACTTCAGATGTAGTTTAAGATCTTGTAAGCAGGAAATACCCTAGAAGTAATGCTGTGAATACTTTGCACACAACATTTCCATAAAAGGAGTTAGGTAATGTGTCATTAAAATTGAGTAAATGCTTGATGTACATGATTAATTTATATTTCATTCAGCAGTTTGTAATGACAGACCTCTAGTAATTCTATCTGAAGGAGCAAAATAAGGTGAAAGCTTTGACTGGCAACCTTTGGGGTTACTTTATTGAGGGACAAGATGCAGCAATTCATAGTAATCAGTCAGATTTCAGTTTCCTATAGTCAGGTCTGTGAAAGATTATTTCTGATTAGATAATTTGTGATTTTGAACTTTGCAAAGCATTAGCGTCATTTCTGCTGCCTCACTGAATTGGGTCAAAGCTGCAAATGCAACCTAGAAATATTGTTAAGTTTGCAAACCAACAAAATGTATGTCTGTCTTTTTGAGAAGCAAAAGTAACCAAAGATTTTATAATTCACAATATGATGCATCTAGGTTCCATTTAGATAGGTAGTTGCAGAGCTGGATTACTGTAGGTCTTAATGGGACTTTGCAAGGTTCATCTTTTGCCCTCTTACAGGGACAAAAAGCAGTCTTGACATTTAATCAATGTAGGTTTATCTCTGTAAGTGACAAAATTACACTATGCCCCATGGAACGATAATATTCAATTTTGGTTTCACCACTGAATGCATGACTGCTGTGCATTATACTGTTTCATTAGAAGAGCACTGATTGAACAAGAGTGGCTGGTAGGAGCCTACAAATGCTGCCAATGACGTCAGTCTTTGTAGGAAATGCTGGATTGTGTGATTTCAAGCCTTATTATACCAGCAGCCTGCGGCTTTCTTGGTTGAATGTAAAGTCCATTGCCAGCACCTTTACATAAAGTACTTATTGCTGAAAACATAATTTTTTTTTAGACATGGAAAAAAAGTTTCATTGCATAAACACTGTTATCAGACTCTGCAAAGGACCTGCCCATTGTACAAAATCACCAACATTACTAGCCATGTTAAATGATGCATAAGCAGCCTGAGCTACAGTATATTGTTGTATTCAGAGTGCTGATAACTGATCATACACTCAGCAGGCCTTTGTCCCATGATAAGATTCAATCATTACTATTAGGTTCTGCCCTGTAGTGCTTTTGATCCTTGCGACAAAGCATCCAAGTAGGTCTAGATCACAGTAAATGTATCCAGCTTTCACCATTTACAAATAGCCAGGAAATACCACACAATTTTTCACAAGACTAATGCTTTCACAAAATTAACAAACAGTCTACTTAAAAGACAAATGCCAGAGTAACATAGAAAAGGAAAAAAAGGCATTTCACTTTAAGAATAATAGTCTTATTGTACTACATATACACTTTGCATGAATGTGAAAGTATGTACGCACACAAGATAATGGAAATTGATCGGCAAACCAACCGAACCTGCAAAACAAACTGCATTAACTGGATACCAGGAGAGGGAAAAACAACGATCATTACACTAAATGTGGGCGAACATATAGACGATATCTGTTGGACTCCCATCTCCCAATACGTTTAAATGCTTCCCCGCCTAAGCCCGAACGGGCAGCTTCAGTAGCCGCTCCAATCCTGAAGGAATGTGAAGAAAAAAGGCTAGGCTCCCATCCAGTCCGCTTCAAACAGGTACGGAAGACGGAATTGAATTGAAATTGGGAAAGGGCAGTACCATCAGAATGAATCAAGAAAGATCCCGCCCGCGCAGGGCGGACCGCTTGGAAATGAGTGACCGCCGAGACAGGGCAAGAAGCCGAACTAGGAATAGTATGGAGGACCACCCACTTACCTTTTCCAAATTGATCTGTTTTAGAGCGTCTCAGTAGAATCCGAACGGACCCCGGAACTAACAATACATCCTGACTTAAAATCCCCCCGTGGACGGCCTTTGACAGACTCACCAATTCCCCGATCCGAAACACCCCGAAAAACACCAACAGGAAGGCCACCGGAAGAGAGACACCTCAAAATCGGAAGCACAGCAATGAGGAAGCTGATCCAGCACAGCATGTAATATAGCAAACGTGACCGGGCGCCTAGCATCCGGACGTCGCTGTCCCCTGCGCAGGCCCTTCACTGCCTGACGGACTATGAAGTCTTTCGTGACATCCCGACAACCCATTAGCTGAAAAAGGAAGGCCATAGCTGACATTTTGTGGGCAATCCCAGACACCGACGCACCCTGAGAAATATTATGCCCTAGAAAGTACAGCAGCATTTCTGCGCCTACCGCATCAAAGGACACCCGACCAGCCATCTGCAAGAACCCAAACCACTCCTGCCATACCTTCGCATATGCTGTCCACGTCCAGCAGCTTAACGACCTACGAAGCAATCCCGAGATGAAGCAAATAAGCTCCTTGCCAATGGCAACCGAGTAAGAAGAAACTGTCAGGGTGAACAGGGAGAAGGCGGAAGGCTGATTCAACATCAGTTTTCGCCATCAGCGAACCTTTTCCGAACCTCTGGACCCAGGCGACAGCCGCGTCAAAGGAAGTGTAGGAAACCACACACATGGAAGGGTGAATAGCGTAATTAACTGACCCCCCTTTGGGATGGGATAAATGATGAATGAGGCGGAACTTGTTAGGTTCCTTCTTCGGAACTACCCCTAGTGGCGAAACTACCAACCTGGGTAACGGGGGGGAAGGAAAGGGACCCCCCATGCGACCTAAACTCACCTCCTTAGCCAGTTTCTGAGTAACAATGGAGGGATAAGTAAGGGCAGATTTTAGATTACGTGCGAACGGAGGAACGACGGTCAGAGAACAAGCCTTCGGAAAACCCTACCTCCAAGAGGGCAGCAGCAGCCTGATCCGCATATCTACTTAGGAAGGAATGCATCCTTTCCACCCTCACCGGAGTCATCCCTTTTTCGGCGGTACGACCCCTCCCTTGTTTAAAACATCTGGAAACGGGGTGGGCTCCCCCACAACTGGAACACTCGTGCTTGAAGTGGCAACCGCTTCCAAACCTGCAGGAACCCTCGTTGAATTGCCAACAGAAATCTTTTCGTCTGGCGGCCGGTTGTCCCGCCACGGCGAAGCTCCCAGCCGTCCCATGAAAAGATGGGGAGGACACCCTAGCCGAGGTCATCAGCTTCATCCAGAGGCTGATGTCCTTGTGATCACAGCGAATGGATGGTCTGATGGCCTTAAGCTGACAAAACTGTTTGTCATAGCGCAGCCACGCCACCCCACCGTATACCCGATATGCTTCCCCGATGGCGTCCAGATAACAAAAAAGGGGGGAGCAATGTTCGGGAGCCTTTTCCCCAATAACGCTTGCCAAAATAGCAAAAGCTTGTAACCAATTGGCAAACGTACGTGGAATAAGGCGATAGCGACGCTTTTCCTCATCCTCCTTTTTGTTATCGTCCAGCTTTAACCTATCTAAGTTAAACTTCTCAAGGGGGAGGAGGGAAAATATATCAATGTATTCCCCTTTCCATATCTTTTCCCTGACCTCAGTTTTGAGATGGGACCCTAGGGGACCCTCAAAACAAACGTAAACCTGGCATCTCGCAGAATCCGCCAAACGAACCGACTCTGCGCCCTTGTCGGCTGGCTTGGGGGATGCTGTTTCAGGGGCAACCAACGGTACAGTTGAGACCGACGGGTTATCAACCGGCAAAATGGGGCAAAGGGGCTGGGCCACTGGCACGGGGGACGTACTTACCTCCGCAGCAGATGCCCATGGCAACCATGCGTCCGCCATGCTCACCTGCGTAGATGCCTGTTCCCCTACCCTGTTGACGGTATGCAGGGCATCAAGAACTGCTGCTGATGACCCTCCAGGAAAAGGCGCAGCCTGCAGGGACCCCCCTGGGAAATGCCTTGATGGCAAGAACTCCGTTGCTGTCAGGGACCCCCCTGGGAAATGTATCACTGGCCCGGCCCCCTTGCTGGCAGGGACCCCACTGGGACAGGCATTATAGAATGGGGCTGCAAAAAAAACCCACATACCCCATGCAAAAAATTTACAAAAGCAGAAGATAAGGCATTAGTGTTTGAAGGAATCTCACCTGGCTGCCCCGGAGTGTCACCAGGAGCCGCAGATCCAGAAGCCAGCGTAGCCGCATCCACATCTTCCTCTTCTTCCTCCTCACCCTCGGATCGGCCGGAGTCCTGGACAGCAGAGGTGGATGGCACATCAGGAGGGGATTCCCCTGATTGCCGCTGGGCCGGCGCGCACGCCGGTGACGTCACGGGCGCTCCCACGTCCTAGGGAGGGCCCGCCAGGAAGAGGTGTCCTGCGCGGCGCCTGCTCGGCGCAATCAGGCAGGGAAGAGGGCAGCACGGGAACAGCAATGGAGGTGGGGGGGCCACCGACCGTGCCAGGAGACATGTCAGCGCCCGCAGCGGAACGTGTCCCACGCTGAGCCACCTCCCCGACCAGAGCATCGCCGGGTGAGGCGGCCAGAGGTGCCTAAGTGTGTGAAGGGTGGGAGGGGGGATGGGAGGCATAGAAGAAGCACCCCGCTCCTTTGGGCTCCGCCTATGCAGAGGATTCCTCCCAGGCCTAGCATCTGGAAGCGCAGGAGCACGCATAGATGGAGGTTCTAGAGGGTCCCTAGAGGGGCTCCTAAGGCGGCGCTGAGCCCCCAGAAACTTGTGAATGGGCAGGGGAAAAGCGCTCAGGAGGCCTGGACCGCCTAGCGTGTGGTGTCCTACGTCCTTGCTGTGGTTGAGAAGGCTGCAGCAAGCTTTGAATTTGAGTCTGCAGCCATGCAGAGCCATTAGCATCTGCAGCTGCTTGTAATTGAGCAAATAGGCCAGAGAGATCTGACATTTTCTAAATCTTTTTTGTGGATAAGGAAAGCTGCAGAAGTGAACTGACCTTGTGCTGACTCCCAACTGCCTGGATCACCCCTCCTCCTGCTCTAACCACCCTGGATGCTCCTCCTGGACCACTTGACCCAGCCAATCACGGTAAGTGACACCCGAGCACCTTCCTTAGGCTAACTTAACCCTTTGTCTACCTGACTGCCTGCCCACCCTGTCATGCCGTCCTTTCACCTATTCTTTTGCCTTTTGCTCCAGGACTTTCTAGACATCCTAGTATCACAAAAGAATACTATTTTTATTGTTGTTATTTTAGGTATATACAGTACTGTGCAAAAGTTCTAGGCAGGTAATACATTCACTAGTTTTTATGCATTCATTAACAACCTACAAAATGCATAAAGAGAAAAAAAACCTAAATTAATATAAGTTGTGTCCACCCTTTAAAAAAGCGTCAATTCTCCTAAATACACTTGTACACGTTTTTTTAAGGAACTTAGCAGGTAAATTGTTTCAAATATCTACGGGAACAAACCACAGTTCTTCTGTGGATTTAGGTTGTCTCAGTAGTCCCAGACAGACCCAATGATGTTGAAATCAGGGCTCTGTGGAGGCCATACCATCTCTTTCTGAGCTCCTTGTTATTTTTTTCACTGAAGATAGTTTATTACTTTATTACTTTGGCTGAAAGTTTGAGGTCACTGCACTGCTGCAGATAAAGTTTGAGACAGAACAGATGCCTCTCTGGTGGTATTGAACTACGGATAAGTATTTGCTTGTGCTTTTCAGCACTGAGGAAACTATGAATTCTGATCTAATCCCCAAGTTCATGTGCAGCAATGCAGCCCCAAACCTGTAAGGAATATCCACAATGCTTCTCTGTTGCCAGCAGACACTCCTTGTATCGCTCGCCAGAACTTTGGCAAACAAACTGCCTTTTGTTACAGTTAAATATTTCAAATGTAGGCTCTTTAGTTCAAACCACCTGCTGCCGTTTTTCTGCACACCAGTTACTAGGTGAGTCACTTGGCCACCATGTTTCCATATCAAACGTAGGGCTTTTTAGCCACAAGTCTTTTTATAAAGACCACTTCCAACCAGACTTCTCTGGGCTGTTTTGGTGTAGCAGGGTCCCACTGTTTTCTGCCAAGTCTGAGCAGATGGTACCACTGGATGTGTCTTTCATCTGCAGTAAGTTTTCTTGGCCGGCCACCACTGGCGGAACTACCAGGGTCGCAGCGGTCGCAATTGCGACCGGGCCCTGGCGTTTGACCACTTGGGGGGGGCCCAGCGAGGAAGAAGAGGGCCCATGGGGGGGGCCTCAATGGTTTCTTGCACCGGTGCCCTGAGGTTTCTAGTTACGCCTCTGCCGGCCACTGTATTTTTGGTCCTTCTGTTCATGCAATTTGTAGGTTGTTAATAGTGTTGATTGATCAATAAACGTTATTTATTACAATAGTCTCTTAAGCTTTTAAACAGCTTTTTAAACAGCATAATATACACACACATACAGTAAACACACACTCATACACATTTTGTGGCATGGGATGTCTCACAACAGGTGCAGCAATACATTGTATTTCTTTTTATGTTTATGCATTTCTTGGTTTTAGCACATGCCTCTGTTCCTGTACAAATTCATTCATTGTATTTTTTATATTTTAGCTAGGTAGTTAGGTCTCTACACATATTTTTTAAAAATTATGCTTCTGAATATAATATTCTTAAAAATAAAAACCTTATTTAATTTATATAAGGAAAAAAAGCACTCGAGCAGCCTGCATGCCTGTTTTGTATGCACACTGGATACTGCTCCATTGCAAGCTCCCAGTGTACTGCACAGCTACAGTGCCCCCCTGTAGTACGATCTCACCAGACAAGAACTGATAAATAAACTATAGATATAAACTATATTTGGTTACTGGAACTCCAGCAGCCTCAGATTTATTAGGCTCCGGGTGGTTGCCTGTACTCACAGAACAAAAGATATTGGAAGAACTAGTATCCAATTATAGTGTATGGTTTTAGCTGGTATAGCAGTTACTGAACAGTAGAGAAACAAGGAAAACATTTTAAGCTGGAATATTGTTTAAAATGAAGTTAATGACAGAGCACAAAAATAATAGATGCAAACAGTTGTGTTTCTCAACATAAATGAATTTACAGCTAAATGCTTGCATTTCCTTTTGACTCGCCCAAGCTAAAAATCTCTAAAAAAAGTTTACCAAAATTTGTGTATGAAACTTTATACTACGGTATGACAGTGATGTTCCATTTTATGAATCAGCATGATATTACTTTATATACCAGTGTGACATTTCAAACATTGTTGTCTTTGTTTTGCTTAGAGTAGGCTTTGATTGAAGTTTGTGATTACCTTTGCAGGTCATGGGCAATGTAACTGTGGGCGATGTGATTGTAAAGAAGGATGGACTGGAAGGAAATGTGAACACCCACGGTCCTGTGCTCTGTCGATAGATGAAAGCAAGAAAAAATGCCAAGGGAGCGCCTCTCAAACATGTTCTGGACGAGGTTAGTGTCTGAGACTGGTGTTTAGTAGATATGGCCTATATGATATATTATATACAATATATACTGTATACAGGGCTCAAAATTTCAAGTCCTAAGTTACTAGCCAGGCCCTATTAGTTACTCGCCACAAGTTGTCCCACTAACCCCTACCCTGCCCCGGCCTTAACTCCGTCAGGTCAGCGGTGTGACGCAGAGTACAGAGATCAGTAACAACGCTGAGTACAGAGACCTGCGGTGTGATTCACAGTACAGAGACATGCAGTGTGATGCACAGTACAGAGACCTGCGGTGTGATGTACAGTACAGAGACCCTCTGTGTGATGCACAGTACAGAGACCTGCGATTTGATGCACAGTACAGAGACCTGCGGTCAATGACCAATTGGGGATACCCTCTTTGTGATGTACGGACGATTGGACCCTTTGAACGTCGCTTTCCAAAGCATAGAAGTGACATTAGGGTTCCGCTGGATAAAATGCAAAAGAACGAGACACTCGATCTAAATAAACCGGTTGCAATGCATTTTGCTAAGAACAGACAACAAACCCACGAACTTAGGGGAATGGTTATCGAGCAGACACACTCACATCCTAGGGGAGGGGATAGGGCTAAACAGCTCCTCCGCAGGGAGGCCTTCTGGATCTTTACACTGGACTGTGTACAACCCAGGGGCCTCAACTCAAGTCTGTCACTATCATGCTTTCTGGATGAAAGATAACCCCTAGATTCCATGAGCAACTAGATTAGGGATTCGCCCAAGTAAAGAATCCCTTGGTTCCTAGATATGTTTAATTCCTCAGTGGGCCACAATAAGCTTGGCAGCTCTGAGCAACTCCACTAATAGTCTTTTTAATAATTCCCACCCCCATATACCCCTCACAATCACGACCCTTCAATTTTTGACCGGGACCTACGATAACTCTCAAACTAGATACTCAGCGACATAGGGTACCCATCTATTCACTGGCCTCTAATTGTTCTAGGCTAGCAGCGCTGTTTCTAATGTATAGCCTGATATATTATTGTTTTTCGTGCTGATCAAAATAATATGAGACCTGTTTATGAGTACACTTTGGGGGTATTCCGGCAATTAATTTGAGGTTTATTATTATGGCAATGATGGGAGTGACTATATGCTAAAGCTCCTGCGTTTTAATGTGGAGGCTCCATCTCTCTTTTGTATTCAATTTGATAATGATGGATGCCTAATTAATATACAAGTTGTGTTCACATACAGTACTGAGTCAGTTTATGGATCCAGTGATGTCATTTTTCTTATGGGAGTGGTTTATTTTTATTTTCACTGTGTGATGTCTATTTAAGGTAGATGTATCTGTTACTTATGTGTCATTCTGAGCCTGATTAAGGGGACCCCTTGCGGCCCCGAAAGCGCTTGTGTTGGATGGTAATGTGCCATTTAAATGGATCATTGATTTACAAAAATAGGTGTGCTGGTGACATTATTTCCTCTTTCTGTGATATACACGGTGCCTTCCGTGGTCACTACAAGCACCCACCCAGCTTTGGGTTTTTGCGGTAAGGAGTGCAGCAAGATATTCTGTCTATAGATCTACATCGCTGGACGACATGATTGATGTTTGGATTACTTCGATGGACATTTTTTTAAATAAAAGACTTGTGTTGTGTTTTGTTTCACATAAAGGATTTTTATATGGTGTTGTGTGTTTATTTACAATTTTACTGTAATAACTACCCCTTACTCATTCACAAGAGGGGGGTGCATCTGGGTGCCCCCTTTATGAATGGGAGCACCCAGATTCCTATATGCCCCCCCGCCCACGGACCCCCACAACCACCAGGACAGGGTTGTGGGGAAGGGGCCCTTGTCCTCATCAACATGGGGACAAGGTGCCATGCCAGGCCCCCTCCCATCAAAGCACGCACCCTCCCCATGTTGAGGGCATATGGTCTGGTATGGTGCAGGTGGGGGGGGGGGGGTGCACGCTTGTCTTCCTGCCTTTCCTGCTCTGCCAGGCTGCTGCTCAGATTGAGGGTCTAATAAGAGATTTAAGGGTGGACCCCACGCTTTTTTTTTGGTGTTGGGAATTGGAGGGGGGAGCTGTACATTTTTTTGATTGCTTTTGTGGACTGTTAACAATAAAAAAAATAGAAAATAAACAGTTATTGTCACCTTGTGCAACAAACGTTTGCTTGTAATTATCTAACGCATCCCAAATTAACAAAAAGTTCAGGTTTTTGTCTGAAATTTTTTCCCGGCGCACATGTCAAAATTCCTAGGTCCATATCTTACCTGTTACTTAGACCTCATTATTGATCTCAGCTGTCCCCAGGTCTTTATATATGTGAAATGACTAATGTTGAGGGTGCTCTCTTGCTGTCAGGCCAGCTGAAAAAAATGTACATGTACTGTCTGTTTGGGGAAACCATTATGAGGCACTCTGTTAGTCAGGAATTGACCTGAGTTTAATTAGTTTCTTGAATAGGCAAAAGTTTTATTTATTTTATGCTATTGACTGGTTGGACTCTTCCTGTTTGTCCCTCTCCCATGCAGGGTTTACTGCTGCCACTACAAGTTGAGCATGTCCCCCTTACACTAGCAGAAAAATCATATTATAAAGGAGATATCCAAGGAGCCTTGAAGGATATGTCTGCCACTTTGTTTTAGCTGATTTATGGTACACAAATTGTAAGCGCTTCCAAATCTATACAGTTCCTCATAAGATGAACTATTAATTTGCGTTAATTGTCAGTTAATCCTTTTCAACACCTGAGGCTAAGGATATTACCTTTTCTTGCTGGCAGTTTGTCACGTCGCAGTTATTGTGCCTGTTAATATTTTATTGGAAGTATGCGTGACTTCAAATATTCCAAAATCATCAATTTGACTCTGCAAGATCAGCGTAGTTGTAATCAGATAATAACATTGCTAAAAATGATATATCCAAATGGATAATTCATTTCTAAGATCAGCCATAGGATCCAAAAGTGAGCAAAAATCATATACATAAATGGTGTAATGAAGTAAAGTTATAAGCTGTCATGGAGTTGCATTTAGATTGGCAAACAGCAGGAAGGGGCAGGTGTTATTTTCAGATACGTTTCAGCACCAAGATGTTGACAGAGCTTCCATCACGAGTACAACTACCAGTATGAGCAATCCATGGTCAATCTATTTAACACCAAGGAGCTTGAAAGTTAATGCTGCTGGCTCATGTAAACATTCATATAGTAAATTTTACTAAGCAGCTTCGGGGAAGGAAATTGACTAAATCACAGCTATACTTTGAGAGATCACAAGTGCTCATCCATATGTACTAGGGCTGTAAGTATTCTTTCTCTCTGGACTGGTAAATCTAACAATGCAGATTATACAACAAAACATATTAAACAGAAGGGTTTAATCTTCCCCTGATTAGGGAAATCCAGATATACTGCTTTATATGAATATATTGTTTAACCCACCCTTATTCGCAATGTACTCTGCACACTATGACCATTTCACATAGGTGATAACCACTCCCCGTAATGAAACCGACCACGGGCAGATAGCATAAGATCGAAAGTTCATGATGAGGGTCTCAATATTGATTTCAGTTTGTCTCCATTTGCTCACATACTGAGTGTTTTATCCTCAAAAGGTATATACTTTACACCCTACCTAGGTCTACAAATACCCCTCACAACAGTGTCCCATATGTCACATCCCTACCACTATAGAATCCATGCACTCACTGTCCTTGTTTTAAACCATTGATCTGCCCACAAGTGTCCCTCCTCCACCACTCCTCACATTCCGATCTCCCCCCACATCCCCAAGGAAGTGAGTATGGCATAGTGGCGCCTACATATTAAGCCATCCTCCTACCCGTTGTTCAACCCCACTTAATACCCATTTCAAATACTAAATGCACTAAGCTCATGTTATTGTTTGTTTTTTGAAGGAAGAAATTTCTCCTTTCGCTGTTTATATCTATATACTACCTCCTGTTTACATCTTGTTGACACTCGAATTGGCACTCATTTGTGCACTTATTTCTTTTACCCTCGATGCCTGGCCCGGCTGCAGATGTTGCCGCCTAAGCTTCCTCAACCCCACATAGGCCACACGCCCAGGGGCGAGATTTTCTATTTACTGGGTTTCTCGCTCCTGGTACGTGTATTTTGGGGACTTGTACCCCACTCTAGTGGTTGACATTTAGGTCGACCTCCCACTCTCCCTACCCTTATCCATCCCTACTCTCCACCCCCCCTCCACTCTTTCTCTCTTCTTTCTTTCTCTTTTCTTTCTCCTGGTCATATTTGACCTCTTCTCATAATCTGACGGATATCATCCCCAACGTTAACAATGATGCCACTGAATATTATCTCACTCAACGTAAAGGGAATCAATGAACCAAGAAAGCGATCCCAGATCTTGTATCAAATGCACAAGCGCAGAGCCCATGTCCTCTTTTTACAAGAAACCCATTTCAAGGGACCTCAAGCTCCTCCTCTGACTTCTCGATATTACCAGAAAGTCTATCTTAGCAATAATCCAGTCAGCAAATCCAGGGGCGTTGCCATTTGCTTCCATACAACCATTCCTTTCATTGTCTCAGAGACAGAGAATGATGAAGAAGGTAGATTTATCTTCATCAAAGGTGAAATATACTAAAAAAAAATGACATTCGCTAACGTCTATCTACCTAATCAAAATCAGATACCGACTCTGCTTTCCATTCTAGACAGACTGGAGGATTTTGCGGATGGCATTCTGATCTTAGGAGGTGACTTGAACTTCACCATTGACCCTTCATTAGATTCTTCCACTGGGAAATCTCACGTCCCCCTTTCTGCTGTTAACAGACTTAAAAGGAAGCTACACAGCCTCCAAATGATTGACGTCTGGAGAATACTACATCCAACCACACGGGACTATACTTTTTACTCCCACCCACATAAAACACACAGTAGAATCGATCTTTTCTTCACTTCCCACCACTTACTTACTTGGCGCCCCCAAGCATCTATTGACTCCC